ATATAATGCAGCGTGTAGCTCGAAGTGTCGACGTTGCCTCGGGATTGCCGTCAGAAACACGGTCGGGGATATCTTGATTGTTGGGCGTGGAGCCTTAACTTTCCCTAGATTTTCGGATTCAGATTCATGAGTGATTTCATTGGGTTGAATTCAGCATGCTCTGGATGTACTTGCTTCAAACTGAGAAAAGAAATGGAAGCCGCATACAGCCTCAATCCAAAGCGCAACACTACGCCATGAGTCGTATAACATTGTCACAATGCATGTTCAGAGTCCTCGACCACGGCTGGAGATTGGTCGACTATAGTGGAAAATATGGAGCTCTGTCGCTGACGTTCTGATCTAGTGTTCTCAAGATATAGCCTTATATCGCTGAGACTTGCTTTGCTGCGAATGAGGTCCAACAAAGGCACAATATTGGCATCCGTACTGTTCTTTAGAGCTTGAAACAGCTCAACCAAAATATCCCGTTCTGTACGCATGTCTTCAATCCTCTGCTGAGAGGTCAAGTTGCGTCGCCCATCTTGGTCCGTGTCGAAGGTACAGGCGAGTCGATGCTCGGTGCAACGCTCGCAGGCAGCGGCCTTGTCCCTAACTCGGCACTATCGTCAAGTTAATCATGGTTTGGGATCAAAGAGAGCGGAACGGTTGCTACTATTGTCTTTTGTCGCCTGCACTCGCCGCACGCTGCCGACCCCTTGCGGACGCAGGCTGCCGTGACGTTGGGCCTGGTGGAAGGTGAACAGAACGGGAACGATGGAGCTGGGATTATGGGCGGCATGAGGAAGAGTTTGTATTTGTAGGAGATATGATTGCCCAGCTGTTCTGCTCATAGCCAGATCAAATCAAACAATCTCTCTCACAGTGGAGGGAATTCCCGGGCGGGAGTTCGAATTATGTTCCAGTCACGGGTGCATGCATCTCGGACTCTTTATCCGATTTTGTTTGAATCAGTAAACAAACATTATCCACACTGGCTCTTAGTCATTCCTCTTTCTTCCTTTTTTTTTTTTGGTATTTCCCCTTATGTTTTCGCATTTGTTTCTCTTCTGTCATGCGAGCTCGGAAACCTCATTCGCCCTTGCTTTTCCAATGACCAGCAAGCAGGTCTCCCATCTTAAACCTAACCTTAGATTTTATTCCCAAGCATCTTTGGACTTACGAGTGTCACTTAGCTGAGTGGGGAACAAATTGCACCTCTCACAAACTATGCTGGGTCAACAAACAATCTAGTTATCCACTTCCCATTCAATGGGAACTAGCAGTGCCGATATCGGCCGTTTCTCTTGTACAGTACCTCTAGCTACCGTGGGATACGCTCGACACACTATAATATTATACAGCTTACAGGTAGCCAAAGACTTAACATAGAGTCATATTTCTTCCGGATTAGCCTGAAAACATTGGTGTTTTTACCTAGCGAATAGAGGGGTATCATGAATCAGGATACTTTAGGCCGGTGTCTGCTCAATCAGGACGTCAAAAGACTCGTCTAAGAGCTATTATCGTATAGAATCGAAGCATTCGCCGTGCTGGTGCCCATGAACTGTGTCATGGTAGGTAAACCGCCAATCCTTGAATTTCAGACTTGTCTTCGTGATACTGGACGTCTGGGGGGGGGGGGGGGGAACAGTTTCATTCCGTTAATTAGAGAGAGTTAATCTTATAGTGAAGATCGCTTTTCGAAGTCTTTATAATTATGATTTATAATATCAGTTCCGCTTGTTCTGTCTTCCCATACTGTATCCAGAGCCTCTCGGGAGAAAGGTTTTCTATCCAATATATCCCAAGCTAAGGTTCACTCTATGCCTATAGGCTCTTTGTTGCTAATTAGCTGTCAAGACTGTGGAAAGACTGTATGCAAGGCGATGAAGGTAGTAGACGCTCGGCACGTGCCCTCACAAAGGAGATCAATTTCCCACTGAACTCCACCATGCAACGCAACTTGACATTCTATTTCATACGAGTGATATTAATCCCATTCGCTCGAATCACTCTTTTGAAAGCAAGATGTCGTCATACAGCCTCCAACGTGCAGTTGAATGCACCATGAGGCGCCCAAAGGGCAGCCATGCACAACACCCGCATCTCCGCCCGCATATATAACCCTAACCCCGCGACCGTCGAACACGACTTCTCACTTCCACCCCGCGCATTTCAACCTACCATCACGTCAACCTCCTCAGCTTGTACTTCGAGCAATATGTCCTTCCACACCTCCTGCCAGAACATCCACCTCATCAAGGAGGACGGCCGCACCATCCTCCACGCCGAGGTCCGCCGCCGCAACAACGAGATGGTCGCGCGGACGTTCCCGTTGGATCGACACATCGGCAATGCGAACGGTGAGTAGCTTCCACCTTTCTTTACTTTGGAAATCGAAACATAATATGCGTTTGAGCTTTGGGGAAAAAGATAGGTGATAACTGACGACTTGAACCACGACAGGAGGCTTCCAATGGGGCGGACATGACTTCACCCACAGCGCGCGCGACATCGAACTCGAACAGACCGAGCGGGGCCCCCGGCTGACGGCCTTTCTGAAGGGTAATGGTGGGGAATACCGGGAGTTGCAGGGCTTGTACCTGGCCGATCGAATCAAGAACCAGGATGGGGAGCTGATCTATCTGGTAGGTTGGGAATTGTTCTCCGGGGGATGACGGTGTGCTGACTTTCGATGCTAGAATTGAATAAAGTGCAGGGGTTTCATGACGGGAGTGGGGCTGATTGGGTCGGAACTGATGTAGATACGTAGATGGTTTAGGCTGTTGATAATGGCATGATATTCTGGGCTGGGTTTACGCCGGTTACAGGGCTGTGTTGATGAAGGGTAGGACGTAGAGATGACAGTAGTCCATGGTTTTTCTGTAGATAGTGTCTTGATCAGAGGTAGTGAGGGAGTCCACGCGGATCTCTTTTTTCTTGCTGGTAGGTTCTGCTGCCGGGTGACGTGGTGATAAGAGCGTAGAGATATTCCCGTCACTGGAATAGATCGTTGGCTTGATGACATCATGAATGTCACGGCGGACATTACCAATCTTCTAACCAGCCTGCGGAGGCCATCTCTCGACGTGCCGACGAAGCTTGAATTGAGATTTCATCGGGATTGACAGGGACTTTCCCTTGGGGTTCAGCGCTGAACCCAATTGAGCCCGGATCCCGCGCGACGGATCTTCATGCCGCGGTACTCAACAACGAGAGTAGAAAAGGGCCCGACAACCCCGCCGTAGGAATAGCTTTACCTTTGGACATGCAGAGGAAAAGGCGAAGCAAAGTCGACTACGCACAGAATGGTTGACAAGAAGGTACACCGATCCCACAACCGCTGGCCCTCAATGTCTCAAAGACTAATGTGCATCATGCAAAGAGGATCTACTACACCTACAAGACCATCGAAGCGTACAACAAGTACGATGATGATGTGAGGAAGTAAGTGCAAGTCACTATCTCATCCAACCTGCCTGATGCAGCTAACTCCGGGCCCACGACAGAATCATCCAGGATGATACCGACCAGGACATCTGGATCTGCAACCGAGCGCTGCCTCCGACCTGCTACCCTCCGTAAGACTGCGACCAATAATTCAGTTGGATTAGTGACTGACGGTATCTTCTAGGCCGCTAAGTGAGGAGTGCATCAAGAAACTGAAAGAGCTAAGTCACGATGTGGTTGTTCATGAGATTGAGGGTTAGTGGTTGCTGTCGGTGCCCTGTGTATTACTCACTTGGATAATATGACAATCAGCAACTGGTTTCTCTCTGGTTTCATCCGGCCAGGTAATAAGGTACCGGTACATCGTTTGTGTTCAAAGCCCATTCATATCGTGACTTGGTAGAAGCTTAGGGTTCGACCCCGGCAGTACCGGCCCCGAGCAGCCCGGCGCATACATCTTCACCAACGATGGCGATCTAGTCTAGTCGGCCACCGGCTATATAGCCGGGTAGGTGGCAGACTTTGGTCCCACCGTGGTCGCTGGAAGGCTTGTCCTGCGTGCTTTTCAGGGGAGACTCGATGCCCCGCACGGACGCATGTACGGGGGCCATGTCATCCTAGACGACCACTACGAAGCCATTAAGACAACCCGGGCAGGATTGCATCGACTAGTCTCGTGCCATGAGTTCCAGGTAGTTGAAGGAGAGACTGTCTTGATTGAGGCGCCGGTCTCGATTCCCACCGATCTCTCACCCTACGGAGGCGATGAGAACCAGACCTGGTTTGTGACGAATGGATTTCAAGGTCGGACCCCATCTCTTTACAGGTCCTCGTGAAACTAATGTAATTCTTTCTGCCAATCTAGAGCTCAAGATCTGGACCGGTCAAATCCTCTTTGAATGGTATAGCTACGACCACGTCAGCCCCAAATGTGAGTACCCTAGGCCTGTCTATCCAACACCAGAATAATCCACCACTGACCCAATCCACCGAGGACACCCATCTCCCCCTGGAAGAGACCGGCTCACTCGGGGGACGTTCTTCCGGGCAACTACTTGATCTCGGCGCGCAGGCTCCGACTTCGAGGTCCCTGAGAGTGTGCGATTCGCCCACCAGCACGACGCGCGCTTCCGGTACCGCTCCGCCGACAGCACCATCGAGCAGATCTCCTTTTTCGACAACGCGATGCACACCGTCCCCGGCCATGCCCTGAACCCTTCCTTCCGCGCGCGCTTCGTGGAGTTCAACCACACCGCCGGCACGGCTTCCGAGGTGCGCACGTATACTCCCCCCAACGCGCTGGCCACCAAGTCCCAGGGCAACGTGCAGCTGCTGGCTAATGGGAACGTCTTCGTGAACTGGGGCCAGGCGGGTGCGGTGACCGAGTATGCCGAGGACGGCAAGGTGCTATTCCATGCGTACCTGAATTCGGAGCCACCGCGGAACGTGCAGAGCTAGCAAGAAAAGATAGGATACTAACCCCCAAAAGCGACCGCACCACGAAGCGCGGCCTCTTCGTCCTCCCCGCCAGCACCTGAAACCTCATCGGCTACATCTGCCTCCGCGAGATGCCCTCCACCGCCAGCCGGCAGCGTAAGTACGCGACCATTGTCGCGGCGAGCGTGGGGTACGCGGCTATGCAGTACGTTACCTTACCCCAGCCTTCATCATAACTCCTCCCCCGCATTACCCTCAGTCTGTATACCAATTTCTTCTATCAAACTAATGTTTCTTTTGTAAAGTATTCTCAATGTTGCCTGGTTAGCAGTGAACTGCACCACGCCCCAAGAACGAAGTGTGGCTCTGTGTTCGTCTCCCTCCTTGGTACTGGATCAATTCTGGAACAAACAGAAAAAATAATGAAGACAGACTCATCATGACGGCCGCCAATCTCTCCGGGATCAGCGGGGGCCAGATCTTCCGGACGGACGACGCGCCGCTCTACCGGCACGGGCTGACGGCTCTGTGTGCGCTGGCAGGCGCGGCGTGGGTGCAGGAGGTGGGATTAAATGTTTGATACCGGGTTGCGGGCAGGAAGACTACACTGGTGAAGAGGGGGGGTAGCTTGATTGTGTTATAACTTATAAAGGGATGAGAGATGGAGTTGGAGAGACGTGGGTGGTGGAGCCGGAAAGCAGGTAAAAAGCGCGGGGGGAGATATAGGGCTGAAGGCTTAGGGCTAAGCCAGGGTCGGGCATTGTATTTGTTGAATTTGGTGGTGGTAGTAACTTACGAGGTACAGTCCTCGGTACTATGTGGATCCGGGTCAGCGTAATCAATGTCTCAGAGGGTGACGATCCGTTCTTTCATGGGCTAGGGATTATTCCTCTGTCTAGTTTGTTTAGCTCTATCCGCTACAGTGCACTTCGGTGTCCTTAGTGCAGTTTGTCTCTTGATTGGGTCTCTTTAGTGCCATTGGTTCTATGATCTGGTTCCTTTAGTGTCATTAGTCTCGTACTCTGGTCCACTTTCCCGAATATCCGCCCTTACGGCCCCTGATCCACGGTATCCCAGGTCTACCACGAGGCTAAACGGGGTCAGGGGTCCTGCTCGCCCGGTCGTCGCTTGTTTCTTAGTGGGATTGCCTTGATCTGCGGCGGATAAGGGCGGATAAGGGCGGCTATTCAGCTGGGTCGGGACGGAACGTCATGTCATCCATCCATGCCACGGCCGTGTGACCATTCTACAGGTACTACAGGAAATTAGGGCTATTGCAACGGAGACAGAAAGAATATTGACCTGAGCATTTGCTCACAGAGGCTTCTACCCCTTCAAGATACCTCGTCTGGTGCTGTTGAGATTGAGTATTCGCAAATAAATCCCATTGTGGATCAGAAATAGACCTAAACATTCAGTGGGTCTACGATCGACACGCTCAACTCATGCATCTGCACGAGACAGTTCTGCAAGACCGCCTTGTCTCAGCCAGACGAACACCGAGCATCAAGGGGCACAAGCAGCCCTCCGCTCCAAGCATACCCCGTTGAAGCATTCTCACTGGCCGTGCCGGAAGTTTAGTTCTGCGGCCAAGACATAAAAGTGGGCCTGGGGCTGAATTCTCAATTGCCTGCGCTGAGCTGAGAGGGGATCTCCGTGATCGGCACAATCGATCGAATCTCGATCTGCGCCCAGCGATCGCGATCCAAAAGTACGCTGCGTGCGTCATATATAAGTCCTCCATCCCGCATGCTGCGAATACACCCCAGATCAGAGCATCCCCATCAGCATCGCAAAAATGACCACCGTGACCGACCCCCCGCAAAAAGGTACGCTACAGCCCGACCCCTATCCCAGATCACATCCAGAACTAACCCCAACCCCAGTCTGGGCCTCCCTAATCACCAACCTGCACTACCTGCCCGGCCTCCTCACCCTCGCGCACTCCCTCCACCAAACCAACACAGCCTACCCCTTCCTGGCCCTATACACGACCTCCCTCCCAGAAGAAGGCATCGCCGCCCTCCGCGCCCGCGGCATCCCCAGCCGCCTAGTCCCCACCATCACCCCGGCCGGGACCTGCACGCACGAGCACGACCCGCGCTTCGCCGAAGCGTGGAAGAAGCTCATCGTGTTTTCGTTAGAAGACTACGCCCGCATCGTCCTGCTGGACAGTGACATGCTCGTGCGCCAGAACATGGACGAGCTGATGGAGCTCCCCCTCGACGGAGAGACGCAGATCCTCGCTGCCAGCCACGCGTGCGCCTGCAACCCGCTGAAAAAGCCGCATTATCCGAGTGATTGGTTAGTCTAGACCCCTTCCCCCAATCCAGCTCCCCCTACCCATCGTATCAATTCGATCGCAGCAACCATCCGATCCCGATCCCAGCAACACTAACAAGAAATGTGGGCAGGACCCCGCAAAACTGCGCCTACACAGCCCAACGCCCCTTCCCGGACACCGCCCAAACGACGGGTCCCGACGCCACCGCGGGCGTGGCGATGCTCAACAGCGGGCTACTGGTCGTGCAACCCCGGCAAACGGACTTCGTGGCCGTGCAGACGGCGCTCCGGGACACGAACCGCGTAAAAGGGTATGCGCTGGCGGACCAGGAGCTGCTGTCGAACGTGTTCCGGGGCCGGTGGCGGCCGCTGCCGTATGTGTATAATGCGCTGAAGCCGATGCGCGGGGTGGAGGGGACGCATGCGGACCTTTGGCGCGATGGGGCGGTCAAGAATGTGCATTTTATCTTTGCGGTGAAGCCGTGGCAGATGGACCGGGAACGTGAGGAAGGGGATGAGTTGGTGCGGTGGTGGTGGGCGGTGGATGATGAGCGGAGGCGGGGGGAGAGAGCCCGAGGGGTGGTGGATGGGTATTAGGTACCCAGTGGGATAGCCCTAATCCCTGGTGGGGAGGGGGATTGTGCGTAGCGAAGACTGTTGTCTCGCGCCTTTGACTATGGGCTTCGCCCTTGATTTTATTTCGGGCTGCACTGTACTTGTATTCCCGCTTGATTGCTTGGGAGAAAGTGCAGGTGCGGCGTTGTTGAGAGGAGGGATAATGGTGGACCGGCCAATTGACAGGCAGTATAGTACTTGTGGAGTGGACGCAAGTCTGCTTACCGTATTGACATGACGAGCAGCTGGGCCTAGTCAATTGAACGACTTCACTTAGGGAACTGTGACTGAAGAAGGGCTGCATGTGAAGTGAATAGACAGAGGGCTCGCGGGCCTCAAGTAGTGATTAGGGCAGCACGTGGGCCTCTTGGGACATTTCCCCTGCCCCTTCCTAAACCCCTTCTTGAACAGGAATATGTTGGACATCAATTGGTGGGCTGAGCGGTCTCGATGTACCTGCAGGTCATTCAAGCGTAGCTGCTTGCTTGCGATCAACCTATATTTCTTAGCAAGTAAGCAGAGGGCCTTTTTGTCTCCCAAGTGGTGATGAGCCTTGGAGTCCGGGAGACACGCTCACAATGCTTAGAGGTATTGCATTGAGACAAAGCTGTGCGTTAGCATCCATCACGAAAATCCCAGTAAGTCGGTTGATACGGCTCCAACCGAAGAACAGAAACAACCCCCCTAAACTATATCACAGCCGAAGAACAGTCGAACACAACATCTCGATTCAAAATGAAGGACACAACACGAGAAGCACCACACCACAACCCCTCAGCACAGACGACAAGGAACACGCCAGAAATAAATACGAGAACCACCCAGTCTAAAACTCATCATTGCCCAAGAATAGCACCCGACAAGCGAGACGCGATGGATCCCGGACTTGAATGACATCTGGACTAGCCCCGGCCGGGCCATACTTCTACGTTAGCGAGGTCCGGCACGCTAACCCAAGGCAAGCAAGCCCTAGACTACAGAGTACGACTGCCGGCAAAATGATGACCCACTCTTTTTGAAAGGGAACAGAAAAATCCAGTGGCTTGGGTTATCTGAGACACCGAGTGCACCTTGGAAAGTGCATTCCCCCTTTTTGCGATGGACTCTGGTAGCGACGGTCGGGGTTGGCCCAATGACAACTACCGACCGGCTACAAGGGCTACAAGCGGGGAGAACCCGGTCTGAAAGTGGTCCCTCCCCAAATTTGAGAGCGGGAAAACCGGCACTGAGTGGCAACTGGCACCAAAGCACCCCCCCAAAAAAATCCAGGTTTTCTCCCCGCGCGCCAGCTAGCTCCCCGGCCCGGCGGGGGTGGTCGTGGTCCCTGCATTGCCGACAAAGCTGAACATCCAGAACTTATGATCCTGCTAGAATTATAGTACTATGAATATCAGAATGTATATACAACAGCCTACGACTCGTCCCGCGCCGTCACGACAGAAAACTCGACCTGCTTCTGAATCCCGCTCTCGACCACCACCGCCCCGTCGTCGCCGCGCCGGCCGGACCCCGACGGCGGCCGGTGGAGATCCTTCAGGATCTGCTCGATGCTGTCGGCGTCGTCGCGCTGGGCCGACGCCTGCCGCTCGTAGTAGTGGCCGCCCGGGGCGGACTCCTTGCCCTTGGAGTAGGGCCCGGACAGCTCGTAGGAGCGCGACCGCGCCGCGGACGAGAGCTTCTGCACCGAGGAGATCAGCAGGGGCCGCACGCAGGGCACCGAGCTCGTGATGATGATGATCAGGCTCTCCGCGAAGCCCCAGCGGATCAGCTCCACGCCGCCCGAGGCCCCGACGTTGGTCACACTGGGGACGTCCTTCAGCTTGGTGGTTTTGATGATCGAGGCGATCATGGCCCTAGTTCGGTTAGCCTCACTTCCAATCCCAGGGAGGATAGGGAGGCGGAAGCTAACGCCTCAGGGGTGGGGTACATACACCAGGCCGAGACTCAGCAGCACGATCAAACTAATCTTGATCCGGAGACGGAGGTTCAGGTTCCAGAAGACGATGGTGGGGAAGACGGCGAGGAAGAGATCGGTCGCGGTGTTGACGGCTGTTTTCCACGCCAAACCTGTTAGTCTGGTTGACGCCAATCGAAGAGGAAGTGGGCAGAACTCACAGGACGAAAAGTAGGAGAACCGCACCACCGCCACCGTGTTGCCGCAGGTGGTCGTGATGTTCGCATTCCACAGGATCCGATCGTCCCGACAGATGCTCATCGGCAGCACCGCCGACACAATGTTGGCGGCCAGCTGCAGCAGCATAGCCACCCACAGCGCGATCCCGTACTTCTTGTTGCCGCCCAGGATCCCCAGCAGATAGATCACGAACGAGCAGCGCGCGATGCCCGTGCTGATCGTCACCAGCAGCACTTCCAGCGCGATGTACTTGAGGATGTGCTCCACATTCTTGGTGGGCAGTAGGGTGAGGTCGGAGCCGAAGCCTTCGCGCACGGAGAGCGTCAGGAGGACCGTCGAGGATAGGGTCAATGCCTAGTAAAGCTGGGCGTTAGCGACTCAGCTCCAAATGAAGGATGCTTGCGAGTAAAATGCTGAGGCAAGGGGCTGTCGTACCCAAGAGATAAACATCAACGCATCGTCGACATAGAGCTGACGGATCTTGATTTTCGCAGCCACACGAAGGATGAGGATCACCGTCGCGATACCGACGGCCACCCATATACCCTTCTCCAGGGCAGAACCGTCGGGGTTATGCATCGTGAGAAACGGCAGGGGAGGGGGAAGGGGGGGGGGTTTGTAACAATAGCGGCGACGATCGCCTTCGAGCGAAAAACGGGGATCGCCGTTTTAGTTATATTTATTCCTGATGGCGCTTTGCAGGGATGGTTTTTAAACTTTAGGCACGGATTCTGCACACATGGTTCGAGAATCGAGACTGCGCTGCTAGCAGGCTAGTTCACTTCCCAGATCCAGTTGGCCGGCTCCTGTCGGCTACTCTGAGAAATTGCTCGGGTGGGGACCTCATTATTGAGACCCAAGCCACTAGACTAGACCAATTATCAGCGCACTCGCCACGAGGTAGTTCTGCAGAACGCAGTTGCCGTCTATTCTATTGCAAGAAATATGCCCCACGCCATCTCGCTTGCGGTTCGATCCCCAATGTCACTGCATATAGGGCGACCCAACTGAAAATGTGCTGCTGGTCCAAGCTCATCCAAGGAGTGCGCTCTCCGCCTAGATGCGGAATTTAAGTTCAATGACGCGGTGGGGACCATGGTGTCAAAGTTTGGGTGACAAATGGATTCACCTGTGCACTCTCACCCAGGTATCCGTTCATTGGATTGACCTGCACCGTTCCAAGTTTTGACTCAGGACGAGCACTGAATTTTCAGCAGCAGCCCGCGCCCCCCGTGGCCGTCCCGAGGGTTAGACGGGAGGTACCCGCCGCCCTCCAGCCCTAATCGCCAAATTGGCCAATGCACAGGGATCGCGGAAGCAGGAACAGATCAAGGACACTTCCAGCGCTGAGCTGAGTGGTACGATGTCCTGATTAGCCTTCGTACCTGGTTCTTGTTGTCCATGGAATCAGTGGCCAATTTCCGGGCGTAAACCTTGAGGTGGGAGGTGGGAGGTGGGAGAGACAACCGCACAGCGAGATAGCGCCGGTCGGCAGCACGGCCAGTTGAGGTAAAGTGTAGCCAGCAACATTCCCTCCCAGTGAGTGAGTCTCCCATGGACCTCAAATTCAGCCAGCACCCTGAGTCAGTTTGAGTCAGTTCAAAGTTGGCCGGATCCGATCCGCACGCTCACGGAACTCTGGTTCCGGGTCGTGCGCCGAGCGCGAGTCAAGATGCAGGTTATACTCCCTCTCGGCTGCTTTCACCACCGAAGGGGAATAAGCATTCTTCTTGGAGAGCTTGACGTTTGGGGGCCATTCGGTGGCTGAGTCATCTTTCCTTCCTTGCGAGATCTAGAAACCTTAAGATCAGAGCTTCTACCTCGATGCCGCAGCAAAGAGTCCATATCGACAGCCATGTCAACCTACAGTCTCTATAATGGATCTTGGGTTTCCAAAGTTGCAAGGCGTCGTTCCTGCAGTCCTCTCGGAGATCGCTGCTAGCTTTTGAGCCGTCGACTTTAGGGGCGGGTCCATCGCGGTCGAACGCTCTATTCTGGGACGAACGTGTTCGTTGTCGTGCTAGATCAGAAACTCTAAAATCAGCACTATTGCTCTGGAAGCACACTACTTCGCATAGATAACAGATATTCTCGTGTGTGGCAAATCGCCAAACTGAAAGACAGTCCGTCCCAAATTTGCACCTTTTGTCGTCATGCGCTTGACTGTACACACCTCTTATCTGGCTCTATGCAGGACACGCGATTCAATCATGCGATCTTCTATAGTTCTCAGACCAATTTCTTCCTGGTATCTCGGGCCATGCACCCGCTCGCACGCCGCTGGTTCTTACTTATCTTACTTTCTATCACTCAGTAGGGTCCCTCTTAGAATGTGAACAGTGGAGCTGATTAGATATAATGAGGTCTATCAGTTTTGTTATGGCTGACAAGTGGTATCCGCAGAAGAGCTTTATATCTTGCCTATACAGGAAGCGGTAGAGGTGAACCTAACTCGAGGCGGTCATAAAAAGTCGCCACTGGCCCGCCCACATTTACCTGTCAGCAAGCCAGGCGTGTGTTGTGTGATAGTAAGTCCTTATCTTAATTTGCTTCTGGAAAACCCATTACCCTGGTCAAGGTTATCTTATTCTTTTAGTCTAAACTAGACATACTTTGTTTGGAATTTTGTTTGAAAATTCGGGATTGAAATCCCGTCGCCATGTTACATGTCTTAAGCTCACAATTCTCAGCGTCTCAAGCCACTGCCAATGAGCTATGGCCAACGCTTAGCTGGGAGCCCCCAACAGGATTCAGAAAAAGTCAACAGTGGCTATGGGATCGGCGTCGGGGGAGCCGATACAAAGCACTCGGTACCCGCCGCGTCTATCAGGCGAACCAGCGTTAGCGTCATCGCAGCCATCGTCAGTGCCGTCAGCATTACCATCACCGCGACCTCCAGCCTCAACATCGGCGCAGTCACCACTGCCATTCCCGGTGGAATTCGCGGTGCCGTTGCCAAGCATATTGTACCCGCCGCGTCCATCCGGCGAAACAGAGTCACAGTCGGAGCGGTTATCGCATCCATCGCCAGTGGAATTGTCGTTGCCATCATCAACCATATTGTACCCGCCGCGGCCTCCGGCCTCAACATCGGTGCAGTCACTGCCCTCGCAGTCACAGGAACCGGGCGTAGCTGCCGCAGCAGCGTTACCCTCAGTAGTAGACTCGGCGCCCTGATCGACGGGCACAGTCTCACCAGCCTGGGAGAGCACGTTAGCGGTGTCCTCGGAAAGCGGGACGGCGTTGAGGATCATACCAGGCACGCAGGCCGCAGCCAAGGCCAATTTGTCGATATGCTTCATCTTCACTCGTGATGTTTGTCGGTTTGGTCTGTTGTTAGTGAGAAGAGAGGTCAATGCGGTTGGGGTGTGATGGGAAGTAGTGAAATTGCTCGAGGACCGCAGCGCTCTTTATATGTTGAGGGGTCGGCAGGCTTCTTTACCAGCCTCAAAGAACTGTTGCGGAGGATGCCAGTCTGACTGAATGGTCAGCAACAAGGTTAGATCCTACAATCAGACGGACTCCGGTGTGTATAATAGACCATTCCGAAATGGTCCTTCTCTGACCTTTGGAGGATCGCATTGGTGAGAAAAAGCCGTCCGCGGAAAGCCTCGGGAAGCTGTAGGGCAAGCAAACGGGAGAACAAGTCCGGAGAGTTCTTTGTCCCACGGGCGGAGAGGTCCAGCATTGTTTGTTTGTGACCGTCATGAGGATATCAGTTCTAGGAAGAGCAGATCAAGTGCCACCTCCCCAGGCACCATCAATGCTAGTTTAGTGATTGCTTGGTGTGTGGATTGCGGATACAAGATGCAAACCGCAAAAAAGGCAAAAAAGATATGACAAGAGTGGGATTCGAACCCACGCCATCAAACGATGATCAGGAAGCTTGAAGAAGCTGTTTGCTAAGGTGACCTTAACCTGACGCCTTAGACCAACTCGGCCATCTTGCCTTGATGTTCTCCATGTCAAATATAGCATTATATGAGCCTTCAATGCTAACTCGCCCAGCACTGCCACCAGGCGAACCATTGTAGCCCTAACAGCTTGCGTGGCCAAGCCTGTACTGACTCTGACGCGAGCATTAGTCCCGACAATCAGGCTCCTAGGGCAATGAGTTCTGATCAGACAGCCGCTTGAGATGACGATAGTACGAGAAAGCGATAACACATCCGACTAAAACTTGGTTGGCTGATGCCGAAAAGGATACATATTGTTTTCTTGCTTTATCATACTAGGCCGAAATATGTTCATATGGAATGAACTGCCAATTCTCCCTTTGTTTTGCTCTCTTATTTCCTCCTTGTCTTACTTTTGTCTATGCAGAACTCCTACAGTGTTGTGCAAATGTGCAATGCACGTGTTACCCAAGGCTTCATCCCGAAGACCAACCGTGACATAAAATTTCATGTAGCACCACGCAGACAGCAACCTAACCATAAAGCTCCAGTTCCCAACTTGCATCTAGAATGAATCAATGATCCATCGCGCTGAAATCTAGGCCATGGACTAGGAAGGTAAATACCATGGTTAACTACTACAATTAGATCACCAGAACGCAAATAGAGAACAAGGGCTACTACAATTTGAAGTATGATAGCTAGTGAAAACAATAAACAGGTCACAAACAATTACCGGCCGGGGTCTTTCCATGGCATACGAATGTGCTTCAGAACCAGCCAAAAGCAACAGCTCTAGCTCTAGCTCTGACTTTCAACTCTCCCACATCCATTATTCGGGGCTTGAGCCACCCCACCCCACCCCACCCCATCAGATCCCAAAGCACAAAGCATTCCCCAACTTCCACCTCCCTCTAATCCTCTAGTCCTCCTTTCCCTCTGCGTTATCGTCCCCATCATGCTTACCATCGCATCGCACAAACCAAAAACTCAAACTATTATCCACCCGATCCGTAAAGACATAACTATGTTCCGGCCAACTATCCGAGTTAACATGCAACCCATTGAACCCGGAGGAACTCTCCGCCAGCCGCAGACGGAGCCAGTCGCCGTGGGGGACCGTCGACGCCGTGAAGCGCGCGCGCTTGCCCAGCCCGTCCTGCGCGTCGGGCCACACCTGGCTCTGGAGGCCCTCGAACACGTTCAGGAAGCGCGGGGCCCACTGGGACTTGGGCGAGCCGCGCAGGTCGCGCAGGTAGAAGGTGCCGTGGTTCTCGACGGGCCCGTCGTCGTCGTCGCAGTCGACGGTACGGCACACCTGCAGGCGCCGCGGGGTTTGGCCCTGCTTGAAGGCCAGCCATTGCCAGGGCTGCGCGTCGTTGCCCCAGGTGCTGTCGACTAGGGGGCCGAAGTCGGGGTGGATGAGGTGGTAGCATTGGCTGTAGGTGATGTAGAGGTTGTGGGGTTGTTGGTGTTGGTGGGCGGGACAGGGGGTGATTGGTTGTTCTTGGGGGTGATGCTGGGGGTCCATGAGCTGTTGGAGTGGGCCGGGGTTGTTGGGGAGGGCGATGGCTGGGCTTGCGGTGAGGATGAGAAGGGCGAGGAGGGGAAGTTTGATAGTCATTTTGATTTCTCCAGAAGGTGAATTCTTGGAACTTGATTGTTGTTTTGGAAGGATGGGCGTTTCTGGTCACGTTCGAGTGCCGGGGGGGGTTTGCTCAAGAAGATGTGCATGAGGCTGTTAGGGGTGAGCTTTTCTTCCTTTATATGGCAGGGCGACTTCTCGGATGGCTAATCGATTCTTCGTGGTCTACTGATGGTCAGCATAACTTGAGTTTGTTCTTTTTCATGTGTCCCGAGCCGTCATGCTCTGGACTCACCAATGCCCGATGACCGAAAACGGCATTCTGCTGCTCTAGGGCTTATGCCCATTGCGACTCACTGATGAGTGCCGAAAAAGCATGACCCTTGTTACGAATGTTACAGCTGGGAATGATATCACGACTATCACTAAGCCAAGCTGTTTTCGTCAACCCCCCAGGCAGTGACAGCGGGAAGAACCGAGATCCCAGTTCAATTGGCGACGGCGAGGGGGTTTCGAGATATGTTCAAAAGCATGAGTTAGGCCCACTTCACTCGTTGGGTCCATGTGTTCTCAAACCTGATCTCGTCGCTTGCAATCAGAAGAGAACAAGCCTCTGAGAATAATTGATACGCACTTTTAATTTCGACCTCTGGATTAACCGTAGCCAATGTTAGACGTCATTGTCATGACGGCTCCTGTACCACGTTTGAAGACGAACTCTATCTGTCCATAAAGCTTATCACCATCTGCAACCGGACATGTCTTTCCGCACCGACAACGTCATACTTTGTGGGATGACTATTCATCATATAATAAGGACGGCAGCTTCGTGTTGGAAAGTGCTGGAGAAGATGGCTCTCTTAGACGGAACAGAAAAATCTAGATTAAAACAGTAGTGGACAGGTCTACCTCTGCTCCATTACCCTCGGCAGCAAGCTTCATTTAGTAAGCAGTATAGCTGCATTCGCTTCATTCGCTCTACGAGTATATACATACACGTAATGAGATAAAACAGTATCGACGTAGACCTTAAAAGCCCGGCATGGTCTACCTTTCTAGAAAAGGGTACGCCTCCCGTCGGCGACTGAGGCTCTGATAACCAGGGTAAATGAGTCAAGGCCCTCGTTAATCAGCATCTGGACAACTGCCGTCCGGCCGGACTTTAGGGCATAAACCATAACTGAGGTCTTTGTGTTGTCCACAGCGGTGGGGTCAGCGCCGGCGTCAAGCAGGCGGCGAAAGATGCACTCGAATGGGATGGCATGCTTCAACGCCGGTGCGACCGTGGAGTCGAATTCGAAATTCGATCTTGGTTGTTGGGGTCTGCTCCGGCGCGGAGGAGCAAGGCGACCATGGTCTGCGAGCCTTGGACAACGGCCTGGATGAAGGGCTTAAGCCGGGGCATCCATCCCTGGGCCGTTTCATTAGCGGACAGTGTCAAGCACTTCAGAGTGCTTATAGTATTTCAGAATGACACGTGGATGCTGGAAGGAATTGTTCATGGAGCGATAACATGACTATTTCATTTATTCCGTCTTAGGACGAATAGTGTTCCGTGTCTGAACGTAATCAAAGTGAACAGCCATATTTATCATGTGCAGATTCGCAGGGTCAGTCTCGTGGGACATGAACAGGAAGTCCATGGGAAAGCCCAGATCACACGGTGTGTGGCCAATTCGATCTGCCGAATGTCGTTCTCGTCCAGGGGCCCTTCAAGGCCTCGATTTTCGATTCCAGATGTTCCACCTTGCGGCAGTCGATAATGGGAAAGTCGTAGAGAGCCTCCTGTAGGATGTACGCCAGCGCAGCTCCAGTGATGGTGGTGGCATGAAGTTTCTTGCTGATCTCCTCGAGGGCCTCGGACACGGCCACGTCCGCGGGGGTCGCAGGGAACTTCTTGCGGGCATGATCCTGATTCTTCCGGTCCTGAGCGTATTTGACGCAGCTACCCCCCAAAGTTGCCCAGGGTGCCAGGTCCATGCCTTCACTCTGTACCATGGGGGTGGTGTCTCGTTCGAAGTCACGACGGCAGGCGAATCCACGGCCCTGGTAGATGGTGAACTGGCGAAGGCCATGGTCGCGGCGACCTATATGAGATGTTCTCCTCCGTTGGTTGTGTTGTGCGCTGCCTTGTCATTTTCATTTTCCCTGTGTTCTTTCTTCCTGCAGGCCAGGTGGGCCATGTACTTTAATGGGTTCTCCCTGTTACCCCTCTCCCCTATCCCCTTGCCTTTTTCATTACCGACCTGCAAAAGAACCCTAATAACGACCCCCTTCACCCTCCGAATCATCACCTTCTGCCACGCGGTCGATTCAACAAGCGAGGTTGATCGCGACTCAATTTCCTCCGGGTGCATGCGATCCGTCACACCTCCGGAGCGCTCGACCAACTCGTCTCGCTCGTTGAGGTGCTGGGCCGGTTTGCGGGGCTCTGTAGGGAGGTACTGTACATCTCCAGAAGGTGAAGGCGGAGGCGCAGCAGGCGTTGCTGCTGGGTTCGGAATTGGATTTGTATTTCAGTCGGGGCGGGTTCGTGCCCCTCTTCTTGATGGGGTGGCGTTCGGTAAGGGTTTGCGGGGGGTTTTGAGTGAGTTGGTTTTTCTCGTTGAGGGGCTATTGCTTTTGATGCTTTTGAGGTAGCTTGCGAGGGGGGAGGGGGAACGGTTACCCGGGCTATATCCGATGGTGAGATTGTGGGGCAGGTGCAGGTGTATGGCATGTACAGAACAAAGCTATGATTTGTTTGAGAGATCGATACAGGAGGAGGCATTGGAGATATCTTGATGGCCGCAGTCGATCCTGGAGCGCGTCTCTTTGCCGACTAGACTATACTGCCGATGATATTTTGGGAGTGTTTTCAGGACAAGCAATGTAAAATAGTCATCATGATACCTGTTCCTGGATTTCAATTTATGCTTCTCATACTACACTAAGAAATATAGCCAGTTTACACTCGATACACCTGGCAGCACCATCCATCCACATCTATCAACTGAATATAGCTCAGATCATCATTTCCAGGGCTGGCGGGTGGGCATCACCAAATGGTGGTTCGCGAACGGGCCGCCGACATTCACATAACCCCCCGTCCAAGGCGTGCAGACATTGTTGGTGTTGACCCACAGAGCCTTGAGGTCCGACCGCTCCTGCTGCTCCTTCAGAAGCTGGATGATGTTCTGAGTGTGGCAGCTCCAGTTGTAGTTGGGGTTTGATTGGCCCGTGACCCCAGTGTGGCAGTACAGGGTCCACTCGTGCTTGTAGCCCTTGGAGTCCACGGTGATGAAAGACTTGCCGCCAAACTTCGGGCAGATGGTGCTGAAGTTCTCGCGCGCAATCTCCTCGAGCAGGGCCTCGTTGGCCGGCGAGGTGGTCGACGCGCTGGTGCCACCACCACTGCCTTCAAGCTTCTTGAGCTTCTCGTTGGCTTCGTCGAGCGCCTTCTGGAGGCGGTCCTTCTCTGCGTCGCAGGCCGACGTTAGAGTCGCCTTGTCCGCGTCGCACTGCTTCCGCGCGTCCTCCGTGATGGCGGTCTTGTCCGCATCGCACTGCTTCTTCGCGTTTTCGGTGATGGCAGTCTTGTCCGCATCGCACTGCTTCCGCGCGTCCTCCGTGATAGCGGTCGTGTCCGCACCGCACTGCTTCTTCGCTTCTTCAGTAATGGCCGCCTTATCCTTCTCACACTGGGCCTCGCCCTGCTTCTTGAGATCGTCGCAGGAGCCTCCGAGGTCGGACTTCTCCTTGTCGCATTTCGCGACCTGCTCCTGCACAGCAGCCGCGGTCTGATCCCGACATTTGGTGTTCATATCCTCCTCTAGCTTCGCCTTGTCCGCATTGCATTGCTCCGTGACGGAGGCGGCCTGCTTAGCACAATCCGCCTTGCACTGCTCGCCGACGCGGGTCTTGTCTGCCTCGCATCGCTCCGTCGCCTCCTTCTCGCACTGCGTCTTCGCCTCCTCGGCGACCTTATCGCATCCGCCCTCCGGCTCCGTGGGCTCCTCTCCAGCGACCAGCTTGCCCGTCTTCTCGAGCAAGAGGATCCCCTTCAACGGTCTGACCGAGTAAGCGCCGGAAGTGATGAAGTAACACTGCCCCTTAGACATCCAGGCGGCCGCGGGACACTGGGAGCCAGCGGCCGCGCAGAGCTGCGCACATTCCCGCGCGCTGGCGGCGTTCACGGGCTTGCTCGCGTAGGGCGTCGCCCACTGTCCGCATGTGTAGGTGAACTCGACGCCGTCGACGGTGCCACGGCCAGATGAGCCACTTCCACAGCACGCATCGAAGTTAGTATGGGGGGCTCCGCCGGTCATGCTGAGGCACTGGTTCGCGCCTGTGTTGGCGGAACCGAGGGGTGCCTGCGTCGCCCATGCAGTGCTTCCTGCTGAAAGCACGGTGAGAAGACGGGAGAGATTACCCATTGTGAAGTGTTGTGTGGTTCGGATGTGTGACAATCGAAGGATAGAAAGGCGGGGCGCGATAGTTGAAAGAGGAGGAAGGAAGGTGTATCAGCCTATGTGCTTAGGCCCCGGTGTAAGACTTAGCCACTGCAGCCACGCTGAGAGAAAGAAAGAGCCGATGAAAAAGCTCAGGGAATGAGCTCTGGGTGGAGTCGTCTTTATAGGATGGGCGACCGCCGTCTGGGGACCAGGACACGCAGAGTAGTAAATCCCTCCCTTTTCCCGGCGAGTGGAGTTATCAGCCATCAGAATGGGGCCCGAGATGCTCCGTGTGGTTCTTGACGAAAGGCGATCTGATCATCTTGCATGTGAGTGGATGTTAGTGTCGTGTCTCACGGTTATGTAAACGGTCACTGAACAGTAAGAAACGAGTCGATGCTGCTCTCCGTGTTGCGAATATGGTGCCTGGCCGTATTGCGCTGGTAAATCCACCCTCTCCTCGAGCAGCAATGGCCGTCGAGAGCAGAGAGCTCCCTCTTTGCTTTTGTCACGGCTGAGAAGAGATCCACTTGACCTCTCCGTTTCTGCTTCCATCTGCGGAGCTGCGAAAGGGCCTAACTCTGTGGAAGGTCGCGGGAAAAGGCGGTGTTGCTTCAGAGACGCCTCTGATTGCCCTGAATCGGGGTCCTCGATCAAAGCTCTGCTCTGTCATTCAGCTGTCGAAGCTGTGCATGGTTCTTGGGAAGGCAGTGATCGGCAGATAGCGTCCGATAGCGTTCGATCGCGTAGATTGTCACACGCTAAGGTAGCCGATCAGTCCGTGGTGGAGCTGAAAAGACAACAGACCCCTCCTGCTTCTCAGCCATGGCTTTGCGGTGGAAGAAAGTGAGAGAGCGAGATGAAAGACAGACAATGGAGACATCAAGGATACTGTCACATATTGTATCTTACTCGCTGTGAATCTGTATTGATGACAGCTCTGCGGCTCGGGAATTAGAGTGCGGGAGAGTCCCATGGATCCGTTTCACAAAGGGAGTTCGTTCAACTTTCAGCTCGGAAATGCAGCTCCCTGGGTCTGGTCCAGTCACAAGTGCGAATCGCATTTTTCCGAGCAGATCGGCGCCGCCCAGCTCCGAAGATCCACTCGCTGTCTTGGGCACGGAATCTTGAGATTGGATAAGTGTTTAGAAGCTAGGACACAAGAGGTCATGGCCCGAGGCCAGGTGTTTGGTAACTTATCAAGGATAGTCTTCGACACGATGAGTTCCCACTTCGCATGGAGCAGAGCCTGGAACAGAGCTCTACTCCAGTGTATGGAAGGTGGAAGATGAGAGGGAGTGGCAGATTGGCAGAATGGAACCCCGTTGCAAGCGAGAGGCAGGCGGTCACCTGTTGTACACCGCCCTCTGTACTGCCTGGCTATCCACAATGACCAACTCTTGCTTCGGAGTCTTCCATATCATCCCTTCTACTTCCACGGCTAGAACATGCATGCAGAAACTTGGTGGAGAAGACACTACACAAGATACTGCAGTTCCAATTCCTGGATTGTCGAGGGTACAAGCAACAGCCTCGATCGACTATATTTTTTGTTCAAAGAATCGTGTCTGGTGATCCAGCTTGTTTCGCTTCGGCACGTCTACGGCACGTCTAACACCCCGTGTGGCGCGACCTGGAGGATGTCACGAACGGGATCGGCCGGGTTTCCGACCGATGTAAAGATGTCCCCCAGCCCCTTGCACTACAGGATCAAATCTGAGGGCAGAGGTTGAAACACAAGCCAAAGGGTCCATTTATTCACATAATGTCTAGGTATGTAGGTAAGTCAATCGACTATCGACGACACATTTCACACTGTTCAATCTCGCTCGCGGTATCTGGCATGCATGCAACATGCAAACCCCAACTATATACTGCTTCCTGCTTCTCCTGGATTCGGGAGAAAGCACTCACTCATCCCAGATGATGCTGCTCAACCCCTCGGCCGTGCCCACCTCACCGGGCTCCCCAACCTGCAACTCGGCAATCTTCTCGCCCAACACGCCCGTGATTGGGTCACGTGCCACGATCGCAACGTTGGAGCTCGCCTGATCGCCAATGGCCACCAGGTCGCCCGCCTTGTTGATGACAAATGTCCGGGGGACGGTACCATACGCGGAACTCAAGCGCTCGAATTCAACGGTTGCATTCGCATGGCGGGTCAGCGTGGCAATGCTGTCGGAGGGCGCGAAGCCGTGGTCGGAGCGCACCGACACATACAGCCCATTCCCGGCCTTGCGGATCTCGGCCAGCGTCGCCCCCGTCGGGAGCGAGTCGTTAGTGGTCGGGTAGGGCACGAGGACCTGGAGCTGGCGGAAGGAGAGGCAGCCGTCGGAGACGTATGAGACATCGAAGACTTTGAGGTGGCCGTCGAGTTCGTTGGCGGTGTAAAGGGTGGCGGCGCCTTGTTGCTGGGCCTGGTTGCGGCTGCGGCGGGTGTTGCGGCGGGTGTTGCGGTTGTTGGTGGTCAGGATGTTGTGGTGGTCATCGGCCGACTCCCAGAAGAGACCGTGGCGGGGTCCGCTGCCCGTCGGATAGGTCAGGTCAGTGCAGTGGGACTGCAGCTTGCCGGTGGCCTTGTCAATGGCGTAGACGCGGAGAAGGTCAGACCCCAAATCAGGGACGAGGACGAAGGAGCCGGTCGGGTCGAGGAAAACTTGGTGCGGGTGTGGGGAATCTTGCTGGGGACGGCGTTTGGGGTTGTCGTCGGAGAAGGTGAAGCGAAAGACCTGCAGCGGTTGCGAGTCTGGGGTGAGGGGAAGGCTGAAAGTGGAGAGAGCCGAGCCGCCGCTGTTGAGGGGGTGGGATGATTGTTAGCGGGGTTACCTCGGCAGATAAACGGAAGATAAGATGGTGAGACAAACTAGTGTGCAATAGCCAGGTATTGGGCGCCGTGCTCGCCGGTGTAAATGACGCTATTCACGCCGCCTCCTGGAGCTGCGTCGGTGCTAGCGATCAGCTTCAGGGTACCGTCGGTCGACGCGGAGAGGGCATTCAGGGAGCCATTGGTCGAGGCGTCACCCGTCTCATCGTTGCAGTAAATAATGCGCGTGGCCGGGTCGAGGGTCAGCCAGCTGGGCATGGGGCCACAACCCTGGATTTCCGACGAGATGGCAAGGTTGCTGCCATTGTTGCTATGCGTCAGTGAGAGAGAGTAGACCGTGCCGCTATAGTGCGTAGCATAGAGGTTGGTTGCCGACGCCAAGGAGGCGGAAAGCGAGAACAGAATCGACCGCAGGGACATGATGGATGATGTCCGAATGTGAGTTTGAAGCAGGAACTGGGGGACATGAGGCCTTTAACAGACCCTTAAATAGTGCTTGAGCAGGGGATTGAAGGAGGGGGCAAGATCGCGATTGGAATGGATCTGCATTCTGCAGGTGTGTTGGCCGGTGCCAGATCTGCAGGGTAACTGGTGGCTGGCATCTGCAGCCTTGTTCGCGGGAGTGTTATCTTCGGTTTGACAAATCGTTATTAGAATGTGAGGATCCTGATGCTTTCAGCCTGCTTGGCATGTCTTAGAATGGATTCGCATTGTAAGCTTGATCACAATAGAAATGCATCACGAAGCTTATGTTTGGCTCATCCAAGGAGGGCATGATTGAACCGCGCGAATATTCATGAAGTTGTGCTGCAACACCGCATAGACGTCTAGAAAGAATTATTATCCAGCATGTCAAAGATAGAAAGCTCCTTAGAGCTGAAGTTGATCGAAGTAACGATAACCATTACCTGTGGTAGTTGTCCTGAAGGATGAGGAGTGAGTCTTGCCCTGGCAGCCGCGGTAACCCCCACGCTTTCCCTTCCGTGCCGAAGTATATACTTTAGCGCGCTTCCTGGTCTGCTGCAGAACAGCCGACCTACTCCGAAATAGCCCCGAATGTACTCACGGTGTAAAGTACCTTGATAGTGTGGGGGTCTCGATGGAGCTTTTTTACGAGGTGCTTCTTCTGCAGGCCGGTGATGAGATGCAATGACGACGGCGGCTGATTTAGCTTGACTCTCACCGTTCACCCTTGGTTGGAGTCTTGATGATGATATAGACATGCATATACTTATTCTGAGCCCTCCTGTTCTTGAGAAGTATCTGATTGTTCTGATAGAATAGAAATTAATTGCTAGTGGGATCAATATAGACAGTGCGGGGTAAAAACACTGAGGAACTAATGTAACTGTAGACTCCATCGAACCGGCCCGGTTGAGGCAGCTTGCAAAACCGCTGGAAAGTTTGAAACAACCAAGAATGCAAAGTCTGACCGCTTCGAGACATGCCGGCAGAACTGCTTGCTCTGAGCGGTGAGTGAGCTGAAGGTGGGTCTTCCCCCAGTCCCAATCAGAGGCTAGAACCCAGCCCTAGCCTTACTCAGCCCGGTCACGTGGCGCACAACCCGCCCACATCGAATATTCAACGACCACCAAAAGTCTTTTCTCCCGATCAACGACAATCCGACAACTTGAGCCCCATCCTCTTTCACGACACCCTCAAGGACCCCGGCACAATGGCTGTTCGCAACACTCAGGGTATGTTATCACTGCGCATGCTCTCCGCAATTGATTCTGGATACTAATGAAATGTACAGTCGCTTCTTCCCGCTCCAAGAGCCGTAAGGCTCACTTCAGCGCTCCCGTATGAGTTTTTCCAACACCCTTTTTCGACGACATGAAGACTTACATAGCAAACTAGTCCTCCGAGCGCCGCGTGATCCTTAGCGCCAGCCTGAACAAGGAGCTCCGCGAGAAGTACGGTGTAAGTTAGCGACGAACCGATCCTTTCTGCCTGGTTGATAATTTTGCGATCCACCCGTTGAATGAACGGAATCGATCTTGAACACCAGGGTCTCACCAAGCGAACCTTGCTAATTTCTCCGCCATAGGTCCGCTCCATCCCCATCCGCAAGGGCGACGAGGTCCAGATTGTCCGTGGTTCCAACAAGGGCCGTGACGGCAAGATCACCTCCGTCTACCGTCTCAAGTGGTGCATCCACGTTGAGCGTGTCGTCCGCGAGAAGTCCAACGGCCAGAGCGTCCCTCTCCCCATCCACCCCTCCAACGTCGTCATCACCAAGCTCCACCTCGACAAGGACCGTGAGGAGATCCTCGCCCGCAAGGCCAAGGGCCGTGAGGCCGTCAAGTCCGCTTAAATGCGCGGTCCTCTGATGTGAATGTTGTGGTTGGAAGAGCGTTTTGTGGGGTTCCGGGTGCATCCTATACTTTTTTTGCAAAATGGCAGGAGTTGATTTTTATCGATCAAAAACGACGCGGGATTCACGGAGGCCCTCCCCTTGCCTCCCCCGCTGATCCAGCCAAATATTCTCAAGGGGTATGATGGATACCTGTCTACCCTGCGGAATCCTGGCGCAATCACGGACGAAATGAAAAAATTGAAATATCCATTCTGATCTATATTTTTTCTTTCGCTGTGATTCACAATGGTGTGTATAGATGGGGGGCGTTCTGCTTCTCCATCTATCCGTCGTTCAAAAATGGGGTCTGTAAGTTCTCGAGATTCGGTGATTGGGTCGATGAGTTGGGGTTGTGCGCGCAGTTACGACTGGGTGTTGTCTGATGGACACATGCAAGGTCGGGCTGGGGCATTGCTGCATTTCGTTTCCCTCCGTCCCTGTCGCGAAACTTTGGACCTCTCGTAGCACCTACGCCTTCATGGGCCGTTATCTCGTAAGTAGTGGCATAAGCCTATAACACGGTACGTCGATTGTAGCGATAATCTGGACCCCCAACAGCAGCGACAACACCTCAGACTCGAGATTGCATCCACGACGTAGATTGATCACGACCACTGCCGTTCTGGAACGGAAAGGCGATGCCAAGCAAGCCCAGTCAGAAACTTCTGGTCGCCTTTATCCTATCGTCTTCATTTGGAGACCTGAGGCCGGCATCAACCACATTGCTACTATAAGCAGCACTTCTCACGTATCACGTTTATGAAGATCTACTTTCTACCATGCGTATAGGCTCGGTATCATTTGAGCCTATATCTCGTTCAAGATGTCCTTCAGGCTCGTGATAGCGTGGTCTTCTCTGTCAACCATGCCCATGATTCGTGACTCGGAGTATACCGGTAATCGAGGTAGCTCCCCGACTGGAGGCTATTCACAATCTCGTTCATGTCCAGCACAACAAAGCACACACTCAAAGAATGCATTCTGCATCCAAGATCTATCAGAACCAGATGGCCCAGGACACTAAGTCAAAGAATGAACCTCGCTTTCATGAGAACATCAATTACAGATGAAAGACCATATAAATGAGTATATCATCTAATATCTTGTCATTACACGACATACAACAGGCTACTTTATCAACCCTCAATATCATGGCTCGTCCTCAATCAGCACAATAACCCAGACCAAATCCTTCATGCACGCACCAAAACCCTCCGTCTCCGATCCTCAAAATCAACCCCCCTGCGTACAATATAAATACGCCCCACGCAACAGTCCAACAGTTAATCCTCTCCAACCCAAACCTGACGCACAAACTCGGATCACACCCGACCCCAACCCAAAGAAAACCCCTCGACTCGAACCCTGACTCAGTCAAGATGTTGACCCGCCTGAACATGTCGGACATCGTCCCCCTAAATTCGACGGTGGTAGCAGCCCCAGTAGCCCCAAAGCAGCCCGCGACGACACCAACGGTGCCGCGGATCATGGATTACCGGGAAAAGCCGTTCATTTTCGTGTGCTCGCACCAGGAGCTGTACCTTGACAAGCAGCGGCGCCCGCTGTCCGAGGACGTGATCTTGAAGAAGATCAACGCGGCCTTCGAGGCCTCGGGTTTCCCCTGGATCAAGGCGATCCAGTTCGAGAAGGTGCAGCGCGTCCAGCCGCCGAAGGAGAAGACCTTCGATCCGCCCCGCCGGCTGCGTCTGGACGTGAAGACCTGGCGCGACCGGGCCAGCCTGTACACGAAGGACGCGTGCCAGCGCGACTGGCTGCGTCTGCTCGAGCAGCAGCAGCCGTATGGGGCGAATATTGAGGCCACGGAGCTTCGGCCGCGGCCTCTTCGGGCAAAAAGGTCGGGGAAGAGGGGTGGGAAGAAGGGTGAGCTGAAGGCTCAGCAAAAGCCTGAGCAGCAGCCTGAGCAGCAGCCTGCGCAGAAGACTGAGCAGAAGTAGGTCCACACCTACGGCTTTGGTCAAGGCTGATTACATACCGTATCTCTCGCTTGAATATCATACATACATTCACAAATTCACATCACTTTCACGTAATGCTTTCTTTGATTGTTCCTATTTATCGTGTCTATATATACTCTGAACCAAGATGCAAAGTCGTCGGTCCCAGTAATCAACCCTAACCATCCTTCCACCCCAGCAGCTTACCCCAATTCCAACCCCAGTCCTTGTTCTCTCCACCATCTTTCCCTTCCCCACCTGCCCCCTGCACCCCAACACCACCTCCCATAACACCACCCCCCACCGCAGCAGAAGCATCAAGCCCGTACCCATCCTCATCCTCCCCCGCAAAAAACCGAACCACCACCCCCGCCGCCCCCACCGCATCGCTCCCCTCATCATCCGCCCCAATCGCCTCTACCCACCTCTCCACATCCCCAGCATCCCACCCCTGCCGCCTCCCAAACTCCAGGCACGTCTCGCGATTAACCTCCGCATCGAACTCAAAATGCCCCTGATAGGTCAGCACTTTCGCGGGGTGATAAAGTCCCTGCACGGCACACTCCGCACTCGCGCCGATCACGCACCACGCCGCCGGCAAGGGCCGACAGATCCGGACGTGGTCGCCGTGGATCATTTGGATGTTCCACTTCGACCTCCCCTCCGGTGGGCCGTTCCTATCGGGCGGGATCCGGGTATGCTTGGTGGGAGGGAATGACCCCGGAAACGCCCCCGTGAATTCCGGGGTGAGGATGATGCTCTTCAACCCGACTTCTTTCCCATGCGGCGCAGGCTCGACGCTCACGTAGGGCTGCTGGCCCTCGGGATCCAGCTCAAGCAGTGCCCGCGCGAGAATCTGATGCCCGAAGCAGCTGCCGAACAGCCGGACACTGGGGTACTGAGCGTGCACGGTTTGGAGGAAGGTGGTGAGGGGCGGGATCCACGGCTTTGTGGGGTCGTAGGCGGAGGCGGAGGAGCCGGTGATCAGGATTCCGGTTATGGGGATGGAGAGGGGATTTAACCTTTCCTCGCTGGCTGCGTCGGAGGTGGCTTGGGGGGTGGATGGTGATGCTGCGGGTTTCTGGAGACTGGTGTAGGCGGGGAGGTGGCCGCCTACCACGTCGAAGGCCGTGGTGTGGAGCTCATAGGCTGGGTTGATGGTGGCGGCGGCGGCGCGGAGGAGGTGTCGGAATTGCGTGCTGTAAAGGCCGCGGTGGGCGTAGATGGTGGGGACGGGGAGGTCGGTGTCGAGGAGGGCGATGTGGATGTGTTTTTTGGGCGGCATTGCTTGTGGGGCTCTGGGAGTTGGGAGGAGGACGTGGGATTCTTGGTAGTGGTGGAGGGGAATGAAGGAGGGCTCATGCGTTTTACACTTCTTCGGGCTGGATCTCTTTACTTGATGCGGTAATTCTTTTCGAGGACGGACCTGCTCGGGAGCGAAGCTCTGCGGGGAAGCTTATCGGGGGTGGAGCCGTCATACAGTATACGTGCTGGGTCTTGATTTATACTCGGGCTACAAAAGAGGGTTTCATCCGGCACCCTGCGAGTGTATCTGAAAACATTGCCCGGAGGATCTTGGAGCCTTCTTGACCGCGATTTATCACCAGATCACATGTACAGCTAGTTGTGTGTGCGTGATTGTCAGTTCCTCTGCGCTATTTGCCGCAATGTCACTCCCTCGCTACCTCGCATACACAGTTTGTCGTTCAATTGATTAAGACAACTAAATATCGACGAATACCGGAAAGGCGAGGGAGACTACTGATCCGGAAGCACGCCATGATATGGCTCGCTTGATAGTCACCCTAGAGCCTTATAGGTGCTCACCAGCGGAGATAAGCAGCCACCACTTTAGTCTATTAATAGCATGATCCAGTACCCCGCGATCACTATCTCAACCTCGCGGAGGCATTTTGACCCCTTTTATCAGTCTCGGCTTTTAGGCCATCTGCATCGCCAGCTCACCTCCTAATTGCACAGGTTCCGCTCACAAAATGGGCGAATTCATCGTTTCTCCCTCGACGGAGATTAGTCAATTTCTCCAAGCTGGAACGCGTCTGGTTGGGAGATTGTATGCAATCCATGACCTCGATGATGATGCGGAATTCACAGACTCCTGGGATGCAGATGCTATCGTAGCCGAGTTCCGTGCATTGGGCGATAGGTTTTCCCATGTCTCTGTGGCAAGCGCAGAATCGTTGACAAAACCAGAGCGATCCAAGAATGTTCGCAATGCATGTGAGATCATCATCAAGACTGTCCTCTGTCGCTTCGATATTCTGGAACAGCTCAATGCCTACAAGCTTCCTCATATTGCGAGACACTTTAGAGAACTATGGTCGCGGGAGGATGTCGAGACGTTGGAGGAACGCCTCAAGTCTATCATTGCCTCAATCGAGTCCGAGGCGGAGTATCTACCCAGGTAAGAATGCGCTCGAACACTTGTGAGCAGTTCTCATGCTGAGACCGGTCAGTGCTCAGTCAATGAAACTCGTTGCCACCCGTGAAGCACTCGATGCGCTCGACATCACCAAAGATCATCGAGACCAGGACCAGCCGGACACACAGCATGAAGCCGGGAAGCTATCAGCTGGAAAGAACGCGATGTCGCTCTTTGGCAAGAAACCCGGGCAGAACAAGAGTGTTCTCGAAGACGACAAGACCTATACCAAGAATACTCTCTTCTCCGACCAGGAAATGATTCTTCGGGACTTTCTGCTCGAAAGCCTGAAGTTCGGTTCCATGACTGATCGGGAAGACAGTGTTGCGGTCGCTCATGGCGGCACCTTCGACTGGATCTTAGCTCCCGATGGCGCAAAAGGCCACCACAGCTCGAACGTGCAGGAGTCTCTCGTCAGTTGGCTGTCCAGTGGAAGCAACGACGGCATCTTCTGGGTCAGTGGCAAGCCCGGGTCGGGGAAGTCAACATTGATGCGCTTCTTGATGGCACATCCCACCACAAAGACGTTCCTGGCAACATGGGCGGGGGAAGAGCCACTGATTACAGCCGGGTTCTATTTCTGGATCAGTGGCACCCTGGAGCAGAGATCCCAGACGGGGCTTATGCGTCATCTGCTGGTTCAGCTCCTCGACCAAGAGCCTCATCTTGTTCCGGTCGTGTTTCCGGCGCGGTGGAAGCATCTCAGGCAGTTGACTACGCGAGAGCGGATCAAGGTGACCGTCGCCTGGGATTTGAAGGAGTTGAAGGAGGCATTGCGATGGTTCATGCAGCACACTGCCGGTGAAGCAAAGATCTGTCTGTTCATCGATGGCTTGGATGAGTTCGCTGGCAATCACAAGGAGGTGATTTCATTTCTGCAAGAGCTGGTGTCCTCGCTCACTCACCTCAAGCTCTGTCTGTCCAGTCGGCCGCTGCCCGTGTTCAGGGAAGCCTTCGGAAAGAACCCTAAGCTGGAGCTCCATGATTGCACGCGCCAGGATATGCTGGATTACTCTCGAGACCATCTATCCGCCGATGCGCAGATTCAGTCCCTCCTCAGCAAGGATCCCTCGAAGGCATCGCAGCTTGTTATCGACATCGTGGATAGGGCTGATGGCGTCTTTCTCTGGGTAGCACTGGCGGTTCAATCCTTGTTACGGCGAAGGCATCTCGACTTTACACAGCTCCAGGAATCCCTGCTCCAACACCCAACGGATATAGACGACCTCTTCACCTATTTCATCTTCGAGCAAGCAACCACCGACCAGACCAGCATTATTGCCCGCATCTTCCAGCTCCTGAACGCTCGCGAAGATGCCTGCAATGCCACCGGCCAAGAAGAAGCCATCACCATGCAACTATGGGAGCTCGCGCTCGCCGACCAAGTCGAAGCCTCCGACCTGAGCATCCCGGAGGACGGACAACAAGCCAGCGACGAACAAATCCAACAGATCTGCTCCCTCACAGCCAACCGCTTCACCAACGAATGCGCAGGCCTGATCGTGACGCATCGCCCCAACCCCTCGACCATCCGCGTCCACCACGCCACCACCCCATCCGCAGCCCAGCTCCTCGCCCAGCGCAAGGTGACATACGTCCACCGCACAGTCAAAGACTATCTCTCCCGACCCGAGATCTGGACCCGCCTCACCCACACGCTGAGTGACAGTTTCGACCCCCACCACGCGCTCCTCGCCTCCCACATCCTCCAACTCCAACACCCCCTCGACCCCTTCATCCGCCACCGCCAGATCGACGAATGGTGGCCCGCCATCCCCCTCGCCTTCACGCACGCCCGCCTCTCCCCATTTCCGGCGGCGGAGCTCGTCTTGATGGATGCATTCGATACCGCCCTGTGCCAGCACTGGTCCTTCCGCGACCCAGCGGCGACCGACCACTGGGCCAAATCGCTCTTCTCGACGTACGAGATGCGGAAGCGGGCGGCCTTCGAGCAGCCGTTCCTCTCGCTTGCGGCGAAGTTCGGGTTAGCACGGTTGATTCGGGTGCGGATTCGCGATGGGACGCTGCGGCCTTCGCCTTCACCTTCACCAGCACCTTCAACCGTCCCCGGAGCTAACCAAACACCCACCCTCCCGCCAGACAATCCCCTAAAGCATCCCCCCCAAGAAAACGAGACTAACGCCACCGACGAACCCACCAAAAGAATCCCCCTCCTCTCCCAGACAACCCCCTTCCTTGCCCACCGCCGCCAAACCGTCTACCCGCTCGCCAACCCCCGGCTCATCCGCGACTTGTTGGAGGCTGGCTTCAACCCGAACCAGCCCTACACCAACCTCCACGGGAAAACGCGCACGCCCTGGATCGATGTGCTCGAGGCTCTGCGGGAGGCGGAGCGCCGCCGCTGGTTGCGGTACTATGATGTCGACCCGCAGGGAATGGCCCGGGTCGCGGAGATTGTGCGGGTGTATGTGGAGGGTGGGGCGGATGTGCATGCGGTGGTGCCGGCGGATCAGTGGGATCCTGAGGTTAGTGCGGTGGATGTTGTGGGGAGTGTGTGGAGGGGTTTGGGGGCGTGGGAGTTTGGGGTGCTTAAGGGGGTTTTGATGGGGGGGGGGGGTGTTGGGGTTGGGGAGCGGGATGAGGGGGTGTTTTTTCGGGTTTGGGGGGTGTAGATTTGCTTTTTTTTTTTTTTTTACCTGGGGGCATAAGGGGGGAATGGATGTATTCGCTGAGGGCAGGATGGAGGTGATGATGGACATTGTGAATCTTCGGTTTGAAAGGATGGCTTAGATTGCATATCAGCCAGAGTTCAGTTCTTGGATTGATTGTAAGCTAGATAATAGAGAAGGGTATCATGGAAGTAGAAGAGAACTGGAAGAGGGGTTGCCGAAAGCTCAGAATACTTAACAACAGGCTGCAGAGAGATGAAACAGAAACAAGAGAGGGTTCAAGAGAAGATTAGAAGAAGGACAGAAGCAAGCCAATATAAACGAGGCAGAGACCAGTAGGGGCGAAGCGAGGGGTTAGCGTAGAGTCTTGACAGGCAACCTGTGGTGGCACTATCTATATCCCGCAGAACATTAAAAAGCAATCTGATCCTGATAGAGCACCTAGTGCAGAGCTCTACACAAAAGACGACTTCATCTGAGCAGAGGCTTTATCTTCGGAGGGGACAACCGCCCGTCAGGCACATAACACTCGCGAAAATGGATGCAGCAAGCGCACTCCAGCGTGCAGTGCCCGTAGACCGGGCTCGTTTGATCCTTCTTGTCTTCATTGGCATACAGCCCTTTCTGACAACACCCACACGACCGTGCGCAGCAGCCCCCTGCTTTGGCACATTCTCGTTGCGATTCCACGAAGTCATACGGCTGCCCATGCTCATTCCTATATTCGTGGCCGGCCAGAAACAGCGCGATGGTTGGACCTGTCGGGTGTGGACGCCCTCGGTACAGTGCCTGTAGCCGAAGTTGATGCTTCCAGTAATCTTTGCGGAGCTGGGTCATCTCTGCCTCGAGGCAAGAATCTTCCGGAACGGGTCCCACATAAATTGGCGGCGGCATGCTGTCGTGTACTTTCGTGAGAATCTCCCCGTCTTCTCTTCGAGGGTGCCGGTGAAGCTTCTTTGAGTTGGGTGACCCGAGCAGCTGCAGACGATGCAGGCGCTGGAGGATGAGGATGCCCAGTGCTGCTTCTTCGGTGTATTTTCCTGCCCAGTCCTTGACGGCATCTTGATGACCGCAGCGTTCATCAGCAGACAACCTGCGATACCGATTCTTCGCGTACTTGTACTTTTCCCTGCATTCTGTCTCCCTGGAAACCGAGACGGTTCTGTCCACTAGTTTGGACGTGTGAGTGGGTTTGGTCTTTGACCCCTTCCAAGACCAGAATGGCATGATGAGTTTGGTAGAGGTGTCAGCAAGCTGATTGTGCAGCGTGCTGGATATTAGGAGGGTGCATGAGGATGAATAGTAGCAAGTCTATGAATGAAGAATATTTGTCGCCATCAAGTCGCATGGCGACGACCCGGCTCAGGGTATGATGCGATGTTGGATCATTGCGGCAGTCTAAGCCGGGCATCCTGGTGAGGTTGTGACTATTGAGGGATGAAATCATCCTGATTCTACTGAGATGTGAGTCAACGGGCTCATTACCGCTTTTATATGTCTAGACTTAGAGTCAAGGTCATAGTAAATGCTACAGAGAGCATCAAACTAAGCGGTGGCAGAATGGGTCGACGCCGGGTCTCACCGCTTTCTGCTCTGAGTGTTGCTTCAAACGATATTAACGTCGTACAGCTTCTGGGAACTGGAAAGTGGAAGGCCTAGGCGGTGGTAGAAAGACTCATCACCGCCCGATAGATCTCACCGCTTCCTGCTTGAGTGCTTCTATCTTTCAGTCCGCCTTACTGCCTTATTGCCTGAACTACTTACGGCTAAATGCGAGGTCTGTGCCTGACGTGACCGCCCGACGGCTAAGGCAACCAGGACCAACGGAGGAACCAACCAGCGCCGCTTACGTACGAACCGCGGCTGGTTGTCATTCCGAAGCTCCCCTGCTTGCTTGCTTGCTTGCTCTGTTCCTCCGCACCTTATTTACAACTCACCCTCGCCCCATTCCCCCCCATCGCCCTGTCGACTCGTCATCCCTCTTCGCATCAATTCCATTCAGTATCTCTCTTATGCCATCATTCACTCAACCTCCTTTGTCTGACTAGCTACAACCTATCTTCCCTCAGGAGCAATGCGGGGATACCGCTTGATCCCCATCCTCGCGGGTCTTGGCGCTCTCCTACCCCAGACTCACGCCCAGGACAGCTCCGGCTACACCGATATCCACGAGCCCGGCCGCTGCGCCCTTCGCGGGCATTGCGGCAAGAAATCATTCTTTGGCGGAGAGCTCCCTTGTCCCGACAATGGGCGTGCCAAACAGCCCGAAGCGGCGGTGAGGAAGAAGCTGGTCGACCTGTGCGGTAGCAAGTGGCAGGATGGGCCCGTGTGTTGTGAGGATGAACAGGTATGTCATGCCACCCGATTCTGCCCGCCATCACAGGAACATCCCCGATGACTTGGGCCATTAGATCGACGCGCTTTCGAAGAACCTCAAACTCGCCGAAGGAATCATCGCCTCATGTCCCGCCTGCAAGGAGAACTTCTTCAACATCTTCTGTACTTTTACCTGCTCACCCGACCAGTCTCTCTTCGTCAACGTCACACAGATTGAGCAGAATAGCTCGGGCAAGAAGCTGGTCACGGAGATCGACAATGTCTGGTCGGAGGAATACCAGAGTGGCTTCTACGACAGCTGCAAGAACGTAAAGAACGGCGCCTCAGGTGGCAAGGCCATTGACTTCATCGGAGGAGGAGCCAAGGACTATCCCCATTTCATGAAGTTTCTGGGAGATAAGAAGCTGCTGGGAAGCCCCTTCCAGATCAACTTCAAGACGGAGCCGGCGGGCTCGGACCCCCAGGGCATGGAAGCCTTGCCGATCAAGCCCAAAGCATGCAATGACCCCGACGAGGCCTTCCGCTGCTCCTGCGTTGATTGTCCAGATGTCTGTCCGGAACTGCCTGCCGTCAAGACAGATCGATACTGTCACGTCGGCCTGCTACCGTGCTTGTCCTTCGCAGTAATCCTCATCTACTCGGTCTTCCTATTGACCGTCGTCGCCGCGTCGAGCTACTTCACCTATCGGGAGCGGCGGTACCGCAAGCCTGAGCGGGCTAGGCTTCTGCAGGATCCTTCCCCTAGCGACGATGAGGATGAAGGCGACATTGTGCGAGCAGGCGGCTACGTTGAACAGCCTAACGGTGTCTACAAGCTCAACTCTGCTCTGGACCGAATGTTTAATCGGATCGGTGGTGCCTGCGCTCGGTTTCCGGCAATTACTATCATGACCAGTACTATATTGGTTGGAGTTTTGAGCCTAGGATGGCTGCGGTTCGCCGTCGAAACTGATCCGGTGCGCCTGTGGGTGAGTCCGACCTCGGCGGCCGCGCAGGAGAAAGCCTATTTCGATGAGCACTTTGGACCATTTTACCGAGCCGAGCAAGCTTTCCTAGTCAATGAGACCGGACCAGTGCTGAGCTACGATACGCTCAGCTGGTGGTTTGGTGTAGAGCTGAGGGTGCACCGAACATTGTCCCAAGGGCGAGGACTCCTTCTCGACGATGTTTGCTTCAAGCCTACTGGCGATGCTTGTGTGGTCCAGTCTCTGACCGGCTATTTTGATTCCTCGTTGTCGAACCTAGACCCCGACACCTGGCAAGAACGACTCCAGCATTGTACCGAGTCCCCTGGAGATGTAAGCTGTTTGCCCGCCTTCGGGCAGCCTTTAAGACCCGAAATGATCCTTGGTGGATATGAAAAGACCGGCAACGTGCTCGACGCACAGGCGTTGTTCACAACATGGGTAGTGAATAACTATGCGCAAGGGACAGAAGAGGAAGCAAACGCCATCGACTGGGAAGAAACCATCCAGCAGATTCTGCGAGTCGTACAAGAAGAGGCCGAAGACCGCGGTCTCCGTGTGTCTTTCAACACAGAAATCAGCGTCGAGCAAGAATTAAACAAGTCCAGCAACACGGATGCGAAGATCGTGGTCATCAGCTATATCATCATGTTCATCTACGCGTCCCTGGCCTTGGGATCGGTCACGGTGACCTGGAAGTCGCTGCTCACGAACCCGGCTAACGCTCTGGTGCAATCTAAGTTTACCCTTGGTATTGTGGGTATCATCATCGTTCTGATGTCCGTCTCTGCTTCGGTTGGACTGTTCTCCGCGGCAGGCATCAAGGTCACATTGATCATCGCGGAGGTCATCCCGTTCCTTGTATTGGCCGTCGGCGTGGACAATATCTTCCTGATCGTTCACGAATTTGAAAGGATCAACCTTAGCCATCCGGACGAAGAGATCGACGAGCGAATCGCTCGTGCAGTTGGCCGCATCGGCCCCAGTATCTTCCTCTCCGCTGCAACGGAGACGATTGCCTTTGCTCTGGGCGTCTTCGTTGGAATGCCGGCTGTCAAGAACTTCGCAGTTTATGCGGCAGGAGCCGTCTTCATCAATGCCGTCTTGCAGGTTACCATGTTCATCTCGGTTCTAGCACTCAATCAAAGACGCGTCGAAAGTTTACGCGCCGATTGCTTCCCGTGCCTGACAGTCCGCAAGGCCCATTCTGGGATGTCTGAAGACCAGGTACTGGATGAGCACGATGGAGAAAGTATATTGCAATCATTCATTCGCCAGGTCTATGCTACTTTCTTGCTAGAGCGCAAGGTCAAAGTCTTCGTGGTGATTACATTCTTAGGCCTTCTGACGGCTGGTATCGCTTTGGTTCCCGAGGTCGCCCTCGGCCTGGACCAGCGCATCGCTCTTCCTAGCGACTCCTACCTGGTGAAGTACTTTGACGACCTGGACGCTTACTTTGGAAGTGGACCACCAGTGTACTTTGTGACAAGGAATGTCAACGTCACCGAACGTCGTCATCAACAACAATTGTGTGGACGGTTCACGACCTGTGAAGAGTTCTCCTTGCCATTTGTCCTGGAACAGGAATCCAAGCGTCCGAATGTTTCTTACATCTCCGGATCAACTGCGAGCTGGATTGATGACTTTTTCTACTGGTTGAACCCGCAAGACGACTGCTGCAAGGAGGACGGCGAAGTGTGTTTTGAGGACAGGACTCCGGCATGGAATATATCTCTTTATGGCATGCCCACAGGGCAGGAGTTCATGCACTATGCTGAGAAATGGATTCAAGCTCCGACGGACGCTTCTTGCCCTCTCGGAGGCAAAGCCCCCTACAGCAATGCGCTCGTCCTCGATCCGAAACGGATCATGACTAATGCCACTCATTTCAGAACAACCCACACCCCTCTCCGAAGCCAAGATGACTTCATCAAGTCTTACATCTCAGCCCGCCGCATCGCTGACGGTCTCTCCAAGGAGCATGATATTGACGTTTTCCCCTACTCAAAAACCTATATCTACTTCGACCAGTATGTGTCAATCATCCGGCTGACTGGGACCTTGCTTGGTTGCGCAATTGCTATCATTTTCAGCCTCACTTCTGCCTTACTTGGCTCCGTGGCTACTGGAGCGGTGGTAACGACCACTGTGGTCATGATCATGATCGACATCATCGGGGCGATGGCAGTCGCCGGCGTATCTCTCAACGCTGTCTCCTTGGTCAACCTGATCATCTGCGTGGGCATTGCGGTCGAGTTCTGTGCACATATCGCTCGTGCATTCATGTTCCCCTCGCGGGCTATCTTGGAGAAGGTGCCGACCAAGTTCCGGGGCAAGGATGCGAGGGCATGGACAGCTCTAGTCAATGTCGGCGGAAGTGTTTTCAGCGGGATCACAGTGACTAAGCTCCTCGGTGTCTGTGTCCTGGCTTTCACCCGAAGCAAGATCTTCGAGATCTACTATTTCCGGGTGTGGCTGGCACTGGTCCTGTTTGCGGCCACTCATGCTCTCGTGTTCTTGCCGGTGGCCCTCAGTTACTTTGGTGGGGAAGGTACGTCAGAATTGACACATTACTGTACTAAAAACTCATTGCTGACGATATATGCAGGATATGCTGATCCTGGAGCTGACGGGGGCCTCGAGGAGAATCTGGCTGCGCGGGGCTACCGTTCCCTGCTGGTCGATGATGATTACGACTCTGATGAATACTAAATGTAGTACGGGAAGCTACAGGGTTTGGATGAACACCTACTGTTGTGGGTGATCTATAATGCCCAATGGACAAGATGATTTATTGCAACTCATGTCACGCATAGTGGTCTGAAATACCGTTTCATATTCTCATGTTTTTCTTTTTTTCTTTTTTTTTTCTTTTTCTATTATTGCAATGTGCGGGCCGGGAGTTTTATGGTTGTCGTTCAAGGATTCTGATTTTCGAGTACATTTGCACTGTGTATCTGGTAGCAATCTACAACTAGACCTGCAGCTTTTGCCGCTGTCCCT